TTGTTTATGTATGCTGCATGTGTGAAAATTTGGTGATCAGGGAGATGCATTGTTTTTTTTAAAAAAAAGCAAACAAACCGCAAAATAAAAAGCCACCCAAAAAGCAAAAACCCAAACAACAACCAAAAAAAAACCCCTAACCCAAAAAGCAAAACCACAACCCCCCTCCACAACCCCCCCAAAACTCCATCTAAATAATGGAGTAAATTTATATACTTATATAAAATAATTTATATCTACAAATTTATATATACAAATTAAACACTCAGAATTGCTCAGATTGGCACCAGCAGTTATAGCACCCAAGGGTGCTATAAACATTCTATGAAGAGAAGACCCTGTTTTATTGGTTTAGTGACTGTTCTATGTATGAATCTTTCTTGAACTGGTTAATTGAAATTTATTTCACTGGATGATTCAACAGATTCATTTGAGATATTCTGTACTTCAAATTGTGTATTCATGAGTGACCCTTTGCAAAAGTCATAGCTTATAGTGAAATTATAACATGTTTTAAGAAATTAACATTTTGAAATATAAATGCATGCTGCAAAACTGTAGTGTGTATAAATACTTCCGCTTCCTCCTGCAAAAAACTTGCACATCTGTAGTCTTTGTGACAGTAATTGGGTGACTGATGTTACTTAGATATTTTTGATCTGTTTAACAATGTTAGTTGAAGAGATTAACACAATTGAATTACCACTGCAATATCTTAGGTTTTGGAATAGAGAGACTTCAGTGTTTTTCAGAGCAGTATTTCTATTGCCAATCATAGTTACAAACATAAAGCTTAATATCATTGAGTTTATTTGGAATTGATTTACTGTTTTACATTACTGAATGCTTAAGTTTTATTTAGAAAAATTACAACTTGATGTTTCCTTTCAGAACATTCAGGCCCTGTGTTATGAGCACACTCAGATTTTTGCAGTGTCTGCAGTGGTGCTATGTTGTGTTCATCATTTCTTCTCTGAGGTCCTTTAAAAAGATAATGATGTTAGGCAAGTGTTTTACACAATTCTGTTGGAGCTGCTATGATGTAAATGGGATAAACAAAAGGTTCCTGCAGATAATTCATCTAGATCCCCTAAATTCTCTACAGGGTATGAAGCATAATGGTTCCCCTGACATCAAATTACATCCAGATAAATCAATCCAGCTGAAAGGTGCTACTGCTTTTTTTTTTCTTGTTGTTTTGTTTTAAATAAATTGCCTTGTACTTGGTGAATTGACTTCTTTGGTTTCTGAGTTGCATAGCTAATTCTTTAACCTTTCATTCTTCTTTTTCATTACAATGTATGCATTCTGTAAAAAGTAAAATAAAGATTGCAGGTATTAGCCATTAATCAAAGGTGAATGCTTTAGGTGTGGAATGGCTTTTAAAAAGTGGGGAGGGAGTTTTACATGTTAAGGGAAGATGAAGCATTAAAAAAAACCTGCCTGTTGTGATACTGCAAGATGTCACAGCTGGAAATAGTCTTGGGTTTTATTTTTTAAGTATTTTATTCTGTCTGTTGGATGTCTCTCTGACTTAAGTAGGTTTGAAGAATGCGTTGCGTATGTTGATTCACAGGAGGGGATGTCTGTACCACCTTGCTTCCATTAACCAGACTATACTCTGAATTATCTTACTGGTGTTGCATTAGAAGAAAGAAGTACGTAGGTAAAGCATGTTGTTCTTCATTGTTGAACATACAGATTTTTGCTATAGTTTTCTGCTATAAAATAAGAATCTATAAACTTTATGGCTATTCTACTCTTAAATGAAAGATTAGTCCTTTGCAGCAGAAGTTTAATAAATGGATTTTAAACATGTTTCAAAGAAGAGCACAGGCATGATCTTTGCATATTCTTTAGATAGAACTTATAATAGCTTTATGAGGTTTCCATCAGTGTATTTACAATTAGGTTACACAAACCTAAAGCAACTGATCCGTAATTTAGAACTTCTTGATGCAAAAACTCTGTTCTTTCAGCAGCTGTTTGTAATGCACTGTAAACAAGTCAGGTTATGTGTAATGGCAGTTGTTTGCAGGGGGAGGACAGTGTTTCATATGATTACAATAAAATTATTTTTAAAATAATCAGTCTTAAATCTTTTGCCATTTTAGAATAGCAATAAAGATTTTGGTGCCCCCATCTTTCTTTTTGTTCCCTATCTGAAGGTACATAAAAAATTTCAAAGTAGAATTTTGATTCTGGGGAAAATAAATGCACTTGACAACTACATTAAATCTTCTTTGTTTCATTTCACTAGTGAGACTCCTAGCAGTTGTAGGAATTTTTGTTTTGCTAGCTTTTTGTTTTGCAGCAGTGAGGCTGACTTAAGTAATTTCTGGCTGCTTATTCTGGTCTTTGTGGTGCAGTTTGCTTACCCCCTCCACCCATAGGGTTGTTGCAACTCTAGGGAGTGGGGACAGGGGAAGCTGCATTTGTAACTGCATTAAAAATACAATTCAGAGTAAAAATAACCTTGAAATTGTTGGGTGTTTTTAAACTAGTCCATTAAAATGATTCATGCTGTTGCTGTGCTTTTCTTTCTGTTAAGAAAATGGAAGAAAAGATATAATATTTGTAGATATACCAGATAAATTGAGAAATTAAGTAAACAATAATCACGGAAAGTAATTATCTTTTTTGTAATAGAGGTTGTACATGTAGTTGATGTGTTTATTATATTCTTCCCCTTTAGACTCCTCCTAAAACACAGTCAACTTTTACCTGTAAAATAGTCTTAGGAGCACTTATTTTAAATTTTACAGGCTCTGAAACTGCTGTAACCAGACTGTATGGGACTAGGATTGCAGCATCTAAATTGAATTGCTAAGAATTCTGTAAAATAACAAGTCGTCTCTAAAAATTAATCCTTTTTTTCTTTCAAAACTGTAAGCTTTAGTTGTATCTAAACAAGTTTATTAGGTGAGAATCTGTTAAGTATGGAACTTTTACATTTTAATACCATGTCCCTTTAGAATAACTAGCAAAGCAGCATCAATTGTAATGCTGTTTGTGGAGTGAATTTTTTTTCAGGCTATTAATTCCTTTTAATATATGTTACCTTTGGCAGCCTGTTTGAACTGTTTGTACAGTTTGTATATATAATGTATCAGATTAAATTCTTTTGAAGGCACTTGGGTTACAACAGTTACAGTTATACCAAAGTGGTGTTTAGAGAAAACACAGATATGCATTGAAATAGACTTTTTACTATACTAGACTTTCAAAACAGGGGCAAGTAATTAGTCTCCACTGCACTAGGGAAGGACAAGCAGTTATAATGTGTGTTGTTGCTGCTGGTTATATAGCAAGTTTTACTTGGAATACTGACTTTAATTAAAATATCCTGCCTTCATTACACCAAGTATATATATTTCTGGCTGCAGAAAACTGATAGCTCTTCAAAAATAAAGACCTTAAGAAAATTGTGGGTCATCTTCTCCAATGCTATTTTCAAGAAAGATGGTACATTCATGACCCCTTGAAATTCTTTATTATATTAAGGCATATAATAAAGCCGTTTAGAGTTTAAATAGTTGTAATGTATTAGTCCTTTTTTTTTTTTTAAATAATAGCATATGTAAGAAAAATAAAAATCTACTTTATGTGCTGGTATAGTGTTTAGGAAGTGGTTGAGGCATCAGTTACATCTGCCACCCCTCATAATTCAACACCTCCTACCCCCCCCCCCCCCCCCCCCCCAAGAAAAATCATAATGCCCAAACTTCTGTTTGGTCGCTTGTAAAAGCGGGGCTCAATTACCCTTGCAAACAGTGTATTTTGACAATTAATGAGTAAAACCAGTCCTCATTATATTTTATTGTACTTAAAACATTGTTTGTTAGGTTGGAATCTGGCCAGTAGGGGTTCTCTGTAAACTCTGCCTGATGTGTTTCTCTTGATGTAACAGTACAGTCTTGTTGTTTCAGGGCATTAAGCTTTGTTTAAAAATGAATAGATGAACTAGTGCTTTAATCTTCTAAATGTAGAGCAGAAAGACAACTTGTACAGTAGCATCTGCACAAACACTAAGTCATGCTGTTGGTCAGTCTGTCTTGACCTTGTTTACAGTTTGATTCGTACCACTGTCATGGTCAATACTAAGATGAGCTTTATTGAATTTTGATATCAGAATTAGTAGCATATTATCTCAGTATGTGTGTTCTACTTTAGTGTTATTAATTTCTTAAGAAAATAGTATTGGGTTATTTAAGGTGACTTGACTTTAAATGGCCATTTTTCTGTGGTGGAGATGACATTTAGCTGTCCATTGCCTTAGAGTGATGTGGATGTTACTGTAACTAGATAATTAATGCAATACTTAAAAAGCGGCTTCCCATCTTGTGTCTGTCAGTTTTCTGACAAAGGAATCTGGTTTTGGTGTTGTAATCATCCTCGATGTCTCAGCTTCCAATATCCAAGACATAAATCCTGCATTGTTTCATGAGCTTCTGTGAGCTTTGTGAGACCTTCCGTGTGTTCTAGCTAGGAGAATGTAGTGTAGTAACTAGCTCTTCATCAGGAGTTCTTCCCTTTTTTGTTCTCCTTTTGCCTGCAGTTGTCTTTACTGTGGTGTAACTGTCTAGTCAAATGCAAGCTCTCCTTCTCAAGTAAAAGAAAGTACAGAGAAAAATAGAGGTTGTTCATTTTTTCTAAGCTAGGCAGTCAGTGGTTAGTTTGCAGAAAGGAGATGGGCAAAAGATATGAAATATAGCTTTGTCCTATACTCTGAAGTCTTTGGTAGTCTCTGTGTAACAGAATGCTTGCGCCAAAACCAACTCCTTATTGACTCCTTATTAATATATTAACTGTGCATAGCAAATTTAATGTATTTTTATATGTTCAATATATGTATTTATATAGACTTGAAATGGGCTTGTCGTACATTATAAGGAAGAGAAGAAATCTAATGGCCATGTTTTAGCATTAATTCAAATAGCATGTTGTAGTTCTGAAGATATGCATTCTTAAATGACATCTGTTTGCAATTTTTTTTAAAGAATAATGTTCAAGCATCAGAAGCTCTTAAAACTGAAGTTGATGATTTGAAGAAGAAGCATGATGAGGCTGCTTCAAAAGTTCTCCAGCTCGAAGAAGATATCATGACTGTTACTCAAAAAGCCATTGCAAAAGAAACTGAGTTAGACAGGTATTTAGTAATTTTGTTGCTTACCTTAGTCTACTGTTTCATTCCATAGGTGTTTTTTCAAACTAACAATTTTAATGTATGCATCGTTTTTCTATATTAATAGTTCTGTACTATTAATTTGTCAATGTCTTAGTCTGAAGGACAAACTGAAGAAAGTGATGCTTGAGAAGGAGCAACTTGAATGTGGGTTAAAGACAGAAAAGGATGAAAAAGAACTTTATAAGGTAACTTTATTCCTTGTACCTGTATGCACTGAAATGAAGTGGTTTGAAATAAAGGTAATAACGTTTTATGGAGAAGTCTGATAAATTGAATTCATTAAGGAAAAAAAGGAAATGGGTAACTTCTGTGAACAGATTTTTAAGACAGTTATAGATGTTCTCATATAAAAATGAATGAGGAAAATAGCATCTGGATTCATTCCATGACATAAAAAGGTCTCTAAGATGGAGAATGGATCACCAATTTGTTAAAATGCAGGCATAGTAACAAAAAATAATAGATGCTAGTGAGGAAGTTCTTTAGTTATACAGTGCGTCACCCAGTAACCGGTTTTTTTAACACGCTTTTTTATAAGTGAATTACTTTTTACTCTTCTAAGTTCTTGCTCCAGACTATGTTTTCTAGATCCCTATTCTTGAGTCTTGTGCATAACTCTGAGAAGCTTTAGTAGGAGCTATATTGCATTGATTTTTACTAGCATAGCTGATTGCTTTTGCTGGCATTGAGACACACCCATATTTAAAATAAAATATAGTGCCCACCTCAAAGGCAAAAAAAAAAAGTTTTTATATGCCAAAATAATGAAATCCTTAGGTTGTATGAAACAAGTCAAGTGTATTTAAAAGTTTATTTTTGTTCATAGGAAAATGTCGTTATATGGCAGACAGTATTAGATATACACCAGAAGTAATAAAATCTCAAAACATCTTTCACAGGCATGGAATCTCTCTATATATAAGCAACACAAATCATCTAGTCTGAGTGGACAGCACTTGAATGCAACAGTTATCCTTTATTAGGCATAATGTGATAGACTCGATGACATCTTAAAAACAGCTCTAGAGTTGTTAAAGCAGTTTGCTGTCTTTGGAAATAAATATTGCTGATATAATCCTGTTTGCTTATATGATTGCAGGTAGATACTACTAGAAGTTTAATTTCTCTCTAGTTTTCTTCAAGTAATTTCTTTTTTGCTTGTCCTTGGTTGTCTAGCATTTGTGAACAGGAATGAATTCTGAACAGCTTAATTTGATGTGGACAGAAGTCAGGGCCTTAACTTCTAGCTGTAGACTGGAGCTGTTGTTACATGATCCAGCTGAAAGAATTCTAGCCAGAAAATTTGTGCTGGAGGGCAGTGATATTATCAAATGTTTAATTTTTCTCTTTACCTGTTCTAATCCGTCTCGGAGATGAGTTAGAATTTAGTGAACACTTAAATGGACAGGTGAACAGTAGTTTTCATAACGTGGAAGAAGAGTTTGACATTTTTTAGCATCATTACAGATACACTTGAAGAATACAGAAATAGAAAACACCAAACTAGTAAAAGAAATCCAGACGTTTAAGAATTTGGATGCAAACAAAGAAAACATGATATCGTATTATAAAGAGGAGGTTGGCAGATTACAGCTATTTATAGCTGAAAAAGAAAATATGAAGAAAGCTTTTTTGGTCTCCTCATCAAACAAGGTAAGCATTGCTAATATAATTGGCCTGGTTTAAAATAAACATATCTAAGGTTGTATGTGTTTGACAAGACAAAGGAAGAGGTTGAAGATATCACCAGGGTATAGGCTGAGAGGCAAGAGGATTATGGTATTCTCAGTATATGCAGAAAATGAGCAAAAGAGTGAATTTGGGTTTAGTTTTGCAAATTCTGAGCTTGGTGAGATCTCTCACGTGATGAACTCTGAGATAAACTATACATGAAAAAGGAATTTGTGAGTTCAGTAAAAGTGCATCAGTAAAAGTGGTGCACTCCTCTGAGTTGCTTTTAACTTCATTTAAAAGGAAGGAGATTGAGGAAAAGAGAAAAGTTAATAATGTAGCTATGTTGAGACTGCAGAGGTTGATGGAGGAGAAAAGAGGAGACATCGAAAGATGTGCTGAAGGCATTGTTAAGTAAATGTACTGTCAAGATATAATGATGTAAAACCTGAGAAAAGATAACATACCAGATAAATAGACTAAATTGACTTGAGAACTCAGCAGTAAGAGTGCCAATAGGACTTCTAAGGAAGAGGTGACTTTTGCTACACAGTGTGGTAGCAGTGTGGTTAGCAAGCAGTGTGGTATAGTAGGAAAGTGAAATTGCTGAAGAACTGGTATCTATGCTGCCCATGGTCTGGGTGGGGTTACTTCAGACTAGTTTTAGTGTGGTGCTGTGGATAGATGTATTGGGTTTCTGTGGCAAGGTTTTGGTAGCAGGGGGGCTACAGGGGTGGCTTCTATGAGAAGCTGCTAGAAGCTTCCCCTATGTCCGATAGAACCAGTGCCAGCTGGCTCCAAGACGGACCTGCCGCTGGCCAAGGCTGAGCCCATCACTGACGGTGGTAGTGCCTCTTGTGATAAAATATTTAAGAACAGAAAAAACCCAACTGGGCAAGAGCAGTTGCAGCTGGAGAGAGGACTGAGAATATGTGAGAGAAGCAACTCTGCGGACACCAAGGTCAGTGAAGAAGGAGGGGGAGGAGGTGCTCCAGGTGCTGGAGTAGAAATTCCCCTGCAGCCTGTGGGGAAGACCATGGTGAGGCAGGCTGTCCCCCTGCAGCCTGTGGAGGTTAATGGTGGAGCAGATACTCACCTGCAGCCTGTGGAGGACTCCATGTTGAAGCAGGTGGATACCTGAAGGAGGCTGTGACCCCACAGGAATCCCACGCTGGAGCAGGCTTCTGGCCGGACCTGTGCAGAAAGAATAGCCCATGCTGGAGCAGGTTTGCTGGCAGGACTTGTGACCTTGCAGGGGACCCATGCTGGAGCAGTCTGTTCCTGAAGAACTGCAGCTTGTGGAAAGGACCCATGCTGGAGCAGTTCATGGAGGACTGTCTCCCGTGGGAGGGACCCTGCGCTGGAGCAGGGGAAGAGTGTGAGGAGTCCTCCTCCTGAGGAGGAAGGAGCAGCAGAGACAATGTGTGATGAACTGATGGAAACCCCCACTCCCCATCCCCCTGCGCCACTGAGAGAAAATCAGGAGTAAATTTAAGCCTGGGAAGAAGGAATGGGTTGGGGGGAGGGTGTTTTTAAGATTTGTTTTTTTTCTCATTATCCTACTCTGATTTGATTGGTAATAAATTAATTTTTTTCCCCAAGTCAAGTCTGTTTTGCCTGTGATGGTAATTGCTGAACGATTTCTCCCTGCCCTTGTCTCGACCCATGAGCCTTTTGTTATATTTTTCTCTCCTCTGTCCATTTGAGGAGGGGAGTGATACAGTGGCTTTAGTAGGCACTTGGCATCCAGCCAGGGTCAACCCACCACAATAGAATACCTAGTAGGTGTTTGTTCCTGATGTACATCTTCCTGTTCCGTTTCATCCAAAAGGAATGCAGTTTCTGTGCCCTGAGACTGTTCTGTCCTGTGATCTACAGTGTGATAGGTAATAATGGAATTTACTGGGAGTTTTGCTTCACAGATGAGTTCTTGATCCAAACTGGAGAGTTAATTTAGACACAGCCTTTGAGGCCAGCATGGAAAAGTCAGATTGACTTTCTAAGTGACACTATCTTGTGTATCTTGCCAGTCTTCTCACAGAAGAGGCAATCTAGATCTTGAAAGGATAGAAGTTGCATTAATGTGAGTTATGAATGTAAAATTTAAGTAGAAAAGTAGTGCTGTTGAGAATGGAAATAGCAAGAGGACAAAAAAGGACATGCTATCTTGCTTTAAGTTACAGCTTATCTTGTTTTAGTCTTTTGACTGCTTTGCAGTTTTGTTTCTGAATGTGTTAAACTGCTACTGTATTTTACTTTGAAGTAAAAACATGTAGGGGGGGTGTGTGTGTGTGTGTGTGCCAGTACCGAAGCAACCAAACATTTATGCCATTTATTACTCTTGGAAGTGCTTGTGATGTTTCTGGTGGGATCATTAACATTGTTTTACGTATTTCAGTAAATATCGGCAGTTTCACAGTGTAACTGATCCATCATGTGCTGTAAAAATAGCTAAGGGACAGGACTTTGGGCCATTTCCTAGTCCATCTTCATAAATGTTTACAAAGTATATTAGTGTTCCTCTGGACTTGCTATGCTAAGTGATTATTAAAAAATTAACAAATAATGGACTAGAGATACCTGAATTTATGTCTAGACTCAAGAATATGAGATGCTTATGTCTTCAGGAAGACCAGAGGCTGCGAGTAGTTTATAGTAGCTTTAAAATTTTTTAAATTTTTTTTTGGTGATCCTGAGCTTCTCCGATGAATGAGAGGCCAGTAGTGCAGCTTGGTCAGTTGGCCCTCGGACTGCCCTGTGGAGCTGCAGCAGTGCTGATAGTCTTAGTGGTGCATGCTGCAGCTTGCTCTTCATTACTTTTTGTTCTCGGTTCCTTCTGAAAAGCTTGTTGTGTAAGATCTTGGGAAACGGAGCCATGAGAAAAATATCCCAAAGGTGCTTTACAGTGTCTTATGTCAACTAATTGTAGGCATTGTAAGACTTCTTACTCTGTTGTTACCTGCAGTGTGTTACTGTGGGATGAACTTTGGTTTTGAAGCTGGATGGCCATTTGTGCCTGTCAAGGATTCTATGGTGACAAGAACAAAGATATTCTGGAAAACAGACTTTTTTGGTGTATGGTTAAAACTAAAGCTGAAAATAAAAATCTAGTATAGATAAAATAATAATATTTAAATTTGCCTTTATGTCATAGTGAAAAAAGTTTGCACACCATTGTTAGCAAAGAAGGCAAATGGGGAAAATGGTAACTTGTGTACTAACTTCTTGATTTAGTGGTTTTGCTAAAGCCACCAGGAAAACTTGGATTTTTCTTTCAAATGTTTGTAATCCCTCTACCAACATTTCTTTAAGCTTTGAATTAAAAAATGATGGATTCTCTTCCCTCTCTTCTCTCTCCTAGGAGGATGCAAGTATTTTAAAAGAACAGCTTCGGAAGGCTGAAGATCAGATTCAGGCTAGAAAACAAGAAGCTGTCCTAATGTCAAAAGAGCTGAGCGATGCAGTAAATGTGCGAGATAAGACGATGGCCGATCTTCACAGTGCACGTCTGGAAAATGAAAAATTGAAAAAGCAGCTTGCTGATGCTTTAGCTGAACTGAAAAAAATCACAGCTTTGAAAAATGAACAGGTAAATCATCAGCACTTTGTACTGAAATTTATTTGTATTTATAAAATCTGACAGAGCTAGCTTTGCCAAGGTTGGGGAATAAAATATATTTCTGGATGATTAGTACAAATTATTATCAAATTCTCTTTTGGCACTTAAATGAAGTGCACGTTAGCTGATTTGGAGGGTTGGTAAGAAAGATTATTTCTGCTACTACTTACAGCAGCTCCCCTCCACCACCATGTTATTTTCACAGAATAATACAGTAGTTTTCTGTGTTACTTTGAATCCTCTCCCTTTCTTAATTCTTTTATGTGAGCCATAGTAGCATTAACATTTTATTCAGATAAGAAAAATGATTGATAGAGTTTTTTTTCATAATGTTCTTTCCTCATTGATGGATTCTTTCTTGATTCTTACGAGTCCTTCCAATATTTGTGGTCAAAGTTAATTTGCTTTAGTATTTATAAATATAAAAATATTAATGTAGTGGAAACTGTCCTGACTTTCTTTGTCTTGGATAAAAATCTAATGAGGTAATGTAAGTTTCATCATCCTGACTTAAGTGAGCTTTGTACCGGATCTTCTGTGACTGCAACTGCATTGGATTAATTGGCTACTAGGATTACTGTAATAATGTAGCAGTTTGAAAAAATATATTGAGCTGAACAGTAATTAAAATAGTGCAGTAAATATGAAATGAATAGTACAACCGTCAAAAGAACTATTATATTGAAAATATCCAAGAATTACATGTTTTTTCTAAGAATTTCAGTTATATACAATGTCTTTGAAATGCATCCTGAAAGAAGTAGCAGATCATCTGAGTGACTCAAGTTACCAGAAAGTATCCGAATACAGCATATATCCAGTTGGTAAATGTAGTCTGCTTAGCCTGTGTATCAATGTTACAGCTCAGTTGAACCACTTCCAGTAGAAACATAGTGAGCGTGATGGAATACAGTTGTGGTCTGTCCATTTTTGCCACATGGTTATACTTGTCTGTAAGATAGCTAGAACACCTTCTGGAAGGTGTTCAGACTTTTGGTATACGTTCAGACTTTTGGTATACATTAATCAGCCTATTAGAATAAGAATCCTCTTCACCTGCTTCTGGTATTATCCCAGTGCCTATTCATTCCTAGCAGGACACACTGAGGGATTAAAGTTCAGCACAGATGCTGCCTCTCTCTGCTGTACTACTGTATTCCTTTCCTTCCCACAAATAAAGTAGGAACTTCTTCTGTACTTACATAGAGCATTATGCTTTCTTTAATTGAAAAAAGGCTTTTTGGGAAATAGTGGTATTTGAACAAAAGGGAGAATAGTTTCTAATTTTTTTTAAGGAAACTTCAAACACAGTGGAGCACGAACTGCGCAGAGAAGTTGAAGATCTGAAGCTTCGCCTGCAAATGGCTGCTGACCATTACAAGGAAAAATTCAAAGAATGTCAAAAACTTCAAAAACAAGTAAACAAATTTACAGAACAGGCAGTAAGTAGAATGGGAGAAATTAAGCTTTTTGTAACTTTTCAGCAACTATTTAATTTCCTTCTGCAAAACCCAGTGCTTTTAAAAGGATGAAAGCATGCAGTAAGCAATGGCTCTTGAATTTACCATTTTCTTCCATAAAGCTAAATTACTTCTATGATTCTTTTTACATGGTTGTTGAAACCAAGCATAGGATTTATAGTAGCTGGTGTATGTAGAAAGCTAACAGAGTTTGGCTGAACCTGTAAGTGTAACATTGTTCAAGGAAGAGTTTTGAAACCGAAGCAGGAAAAAATCAATAATTACTACCTCTCTTCAGTACCACTACCACCATAAAAAACACGCCCAAACCTGAGACCCAGAAGTGGGGGAAATGGAGAACTTGGAGGAGGATTTCAAAGTGAAGTGGGGTGAAAGCTTCCACAACACAGTATATAGTTGTATTCCATGTGTATTTTGTATTCTTCTCTCTCTTCTAAACTTTGTTCCATAAGTAAATGGGGCTTTTGCAATGATGATGTGAGTCTTATGCCACCTGGTAACTGAACCTGTTAGTGAATTTCGAACAGGTTAGAGAGCAGAGCTCTGTAGAATTTTGTGAAAATTAGTGACTTGAATTGGAGAGGAGCTTAAATGGGGAAAAGGCATATGAGCAATAGCAAGATGTACAAATGTGAATTCTTAAGAAAAACAGACTTAAGCATTTCTGCTGTCCACAGAACAAATGGGGTAGTTACCCAGGTTTGATCCACAGATTGCTTTAAAAAGTTATCTTCTCATCCAGAAGGTCAATGGTGAATGAGGTGTCATATCAGAACGCCTGTGGCTTTTCCTTAAAAATCTTCCACATCTTTGGCTATGTTGTACATCTGATAACAAACACCAGAAGTCCAGCACTCTTTAGTAATGCAGACTCCATTTTCTAATGGAGTATTAAAGTTGATGGATTTAAGTGTAACTGTTTCTGTAGAAAATGAGATTTTCTAATAATTTGCTTAGAAATTACTGCTTCTAGGGAAAAATAATTTTATAAGGTAAGATTATAAAAATCATAGTCTGAGGCAATTTCAGTGTTAGTAGAATTAAGTATGTTTCCATATTATTATTATTACCTCCTGTTTTAATGAGCAATTCCATCTAGTCCAATTCTGGAGGAGATGATATTGCAAGATACATGTTACTTTGTGCTTTGGCTTTCATTGAATTAAATACCAAAACAAAATTTCTTTTCACAAAGAAAATTGCAGGGCATCAACAGAAACTGACAGATGCATCTAACATTGAGACAGCTACTGCCGTTGTTACAGACAAAAAGTTGTCTGCATCTCCAGGTATCAACAGCTTAAATTTTGTCTTATTTGTATCAGCCTGAAAGTGTTGTCTAATAGTATTTATAGTATAAAGTAGGTGGACTTGTTCTGTTTTAGTTAAAGCAGCGATTAGAAATGTGAAAATTCATCTAAAAATCTTGTGTCTTTTTTCAAGTGGTAACATTCCTAAACAGCTTCATGTATCTTTTCAAAACAGTTCAGTTGATATTTGTTAATGTCTGTAGGACTGAACTCTCAACTTCTTGTTTGATAGTTAACACAGAGTTGGTTTTGCCAAGCTAATAAGCAATTAATTAAAAAAAAAAAATCCTCCACAAATTTGCAAGTTGTGTACAATAGCATGGTAATTTTGAAGGCATGTTATAATGTCTATCCACTGTAGCATTCTACTGTAAAATGAAATCTACTGAAAGGTTCTGATTATTTGATGGCAAGGTCAAGTCTATAGACTATTCTCATGATTTATAGGCAGCAGTGGTTTATTAGAAAACGTTTAACTAGGTTATAACTTTTATGAACTATTAAGTTCTTAAAAAACTGATCTTCTAAAACATAAACATATAATAGGTTAAAACTAAGCCTGGCTTATTATGCAGTTTAAATTGATAAATGCCAGTAAATGCTGACTAATTTTGTTTGTGTTTACTTTATAATTCACACATTCTTTCTGTCTATAGAGACTATGGGTTGTAATTTCCGTCAGTTTCCTCTTGTTTTAAGTAAATACAAGTGTTCCCTAAAACAAATGAAATCCCAGCAAGCTCAGTTACAGTATGTGATAGGCTGAAGTAGATTGCTGGGGTACTTCATGTTTTTATGGAAGAATAAAATATCTAGCATGATATCATAAGGCACATATTCGGGTGCTTACTTGGGAGCTAAGGGGAGAGGTGTCGGTCTGGGGTTTTTTTTGTTTGTTTGTTTGTTTTGGGGTTTTTTGTTTTTTTGTTTGTTTGTTTTTTACGTTGACCTTTGTAGTATGTATGTGTATATTTATGTTCATCTTCAGTGTGTGAGAGAACTGAACACAGACTTGTCAGTATGACTGCTGATCTTATGTATCACTAGGATACTGATTGTCTGTGATTATTTGCTTAGATAAGAACAGAGCGCTCCATGTTATTGCACTGTCAAATTTGGCTTGTCATCTCTCTTATACAAACTTTATTTGTGGAACAAAAAGTCAATATTCTTGTTTTTTCTTCAATGTTCACAGTTAGCCCCATTTCATCTGACATAGTTTCGGAATTCATGGTAAAGGAGCAAGTACGTGAAATGAATAAAGAAATTGCTGAGAAAACAGAGAAGTATAAGAAATGCAAGCAAATGTTGGCAGTAAGTAAATGGCTGCTTCGGAAAGTTGAACAGAAAGTAGCTATAAGTGCTAAGTCTTAAAAACCCCAAAGCCTACCAAGCTGAGTTGCCTTCCTTGTTTTTGTGATAGACTGTGATTATGGTAGAAATCTTAATGTTAGAAAACACATTTTTATGAAGTCAGCTCTCGATTACCTGTGGTGTTAGAGAGTCCAGACAAGGACCCCTCAGGAAAACCTAGTTGTAGTAAAACAAATGAACAAAACTACTACTATTTCTGTGCTTAAGGTTTTGAATACTTTTTTTTGTTGTTGTGTTATATTTTAAGAGTAGTTGCTTTTATAAATCAAATATAGCATGTTGCTATGTTGCTATAAGTCAGCTAATGTCTGGAACAAGTATAGCAGTGTTTATCTGATATGCTGTTCAAGTGTAATAACTGCTCCATATCTGACTGTCCTGGCCTTTTACAGTGTTTTGATGTCCAAGTGGGTGCTGCCTACTAGCGTGGGCTCAGTCATACATAAAGGCATTTATATGGTTCTCTGGACCGAAGTTGGCACCAGTAGTGCTGTAGCCACAATAGTAATTCCCTCTCTGTCAGTTCTAATTTGATTTTCATTTAACCAGTTTGGATGTATGTATGATGATGGAGCATTGCATCAGTGGTGCTGGTGAAAAGTTGACTGTTGTGGAATTGTTTAAGAAATGCTTTCTGGATGTTGTCTTGTCTCTGTTCATCTTGTTTTTCTTATCACAATGAGATTATTCTATTTTAATGTGCTCTCTAATTCTGCTCATTACCCTATCTATGGAGAGCCTGTGTTAGCTTCTGCAGGCTATTTCTTCTATAGTGATGCTTGAGGAAAACTTTGCCTTTGACCTTCTGGATGAAAGATACTTAGGTTGTAAAAGTTGCATGAGAAAAGGTTTTGTATTGAAGTGAGACACTTGGAAGGATAATCATGATTACAGTGTAGTATTAGGATACTAAGAAACCGTGAAGCTAAAGAGGAATATCAGCTTGTTGAAAACTCAGGCAAGAAAAAAATATGTATTGAACATCACTTACGCAGTGTTCAGTGGTCCTGTCCTCTTCAAAGTCTTGAGTCAGGCTTGATTTCTTGTGGAAGCCATTTGTAAATGGTCTTGTTCTAAAAGCATGGAGTTATACCATGTCACTGTTGGGGGTGGGAGGGGAGATCTCTTAAAATTGTAAATATTTCATGCCATGGTATAAACTACTTTAGGACGAGAAGATGAAATGCAGTGTTTATGCTGATGAACTGGCTAAACTGGAGCTGAAGTGGAAAGAACAAGTGAAAATCAATGAGGGTATAAAATTACAGCTAGCAGCAATGGAGGATCAGTATAAAGTAAGTTCCAGATTTTGTTTATGACAGTGAATGGTATCCTGTTCTTAACATAGTTGCTCATTTCTAATAGTTCAAGTAATGAAGAGTTTTAATGGGAAAAAACCACTAAATATGTTTTTGCTGTAAATAGAAATTCTGTTTTGCACTTTTACAAACAACAGTCTTGTAATGCTGCTTTTAAATTAAGACAGATCTGCTAAGTATATTACCAAGTGGCTGTCAGTCTTCTAATATTGTGGCTTTAGACAAACCTCTAAATGACGTTAATCTTGTGTTACAGGAAAAAAAGGACCAGAGAGTTCTAATTACCTGTTGCTTACTATAATACTAACAGGAATATTGATTGGCGTGTTTGTCTAAAATCTGCATGCTGCATTACCAGTGTAGTAATGTCTAATGCATTTTATCTGAATTAACTAGAGAGATACATGATGAGTGATATGTTGTTTTTAAAATTATCATGAGGGAATTACTTTAATTTGGAGGATCTCAACTGTAGTCTTAGTAGAGTGATGTAACACATGCACCAGAAAGACAAGCATAATGGGCAGCTTTAGCTTACAAGGGGCCTTAATCTTTGAGTTTGTGATAGTAATACATATGCTGAAGTGGCTTTTTAGGTCAACAAGGACAAGATAAGAGCAACACATTTCCATAAGACCAGCTTTTATGCTTGTTCTCTGTCTAATGGTGATAGTGTAGTTGACAGGATAGAATACTCTGTTGCCCATTTTTGCCTATTGTGATGAACAGGGATTAAATTGAACTGTGACTATATCAGTTCTAGTAGGAACCCCCTTCCATTAGAAATTACAGCACTTCTTCTTTATGAAATACTGAATTATCTACAGCTCATTTCAGCACTCTAGGCTGTCCTTTTTTGACACTTTTCAAAGCTCTAATTTCAATTTTATAAAATGTATGAGACTTTCCAATTTATTTAGTTTTACTAATTAGCAGTGATCAATTGCCATGCATGATTTAATGTAAAATAAGTTTGTTCTTAACTTCTCAACAGCAGGAGTAATAAATAATTGGTTCTAAAATTGAAAGCATTTTGACTGCAGTTCAAAACTTGTTATCATTCAGGAGGGTGCAGGTGGTGGAGAAAAAGTCAGCTTTTCTTCCCAGTCAGTAGATTTCTCTCTGTTGACCTAAACTAGGAGAGGGAATTTCAGAACTGAAAAAAAATTGATACATAACTGTGCAGAGCATTGAGCTTATATGCTAGAAAAACCAAGTGGAGAGGCAGTCTCCAAAGTAACCAGAATCCAAGTAAAACAGCCCTTTGTAGAGAAAGATTATTTAAATAATCATTTTGAAGCAAGGAGGAAGCCTGGAAGAATTGTGTAGTATGTCAGTTGCATCTCCTCCTAGAGGACCCAACACAAGGTAGGTGTTTGTGAAACAAATTTAGGTAGGAGGAGGTTTTGGTTCTCTCAGTTCTGTGGTGGGACATAAGAGCTGGAGAGAAGTGAATGAAGTTACTGAAATGCCAGTGGAATCCTTCAGAAATAATGAGATGAGGCTTGCAAACCTTCAACTGTTTCTGGGCAGTGGTGTCCCTCCTGCAATTAGTATCACTGATACTACTTGTTTTTAACCCAGGATTTTATCATTTCACAACTGTTTTCTGAAAACTGGCAAGAAAAGGCTGCTAATGTACTGCTGTTATCCAGCAGATAAACTTAGGGAGAATTGTTGGGTTTTATTTGTAGTAGTGCTAGATGTTACATGTAACTACAGTAGACAAAATGATTTCCATCTGAAAGATGAATTTAATCACTGAACTTTGTTTTCACAATATAACATGCAGGGAAATAGTTTCTATTCACTAATACAGGAACCTTCTTTTCATATAGGTTCAGCTGGCAGAAAAAGAGAGACGAATAAAGGAACTGGCATCACAGTTGGAACTCGTTACCAGTGAGAAGGTATTGTCAGGATTCCTGTTAAATTTTATAAATTAACACTTGTGAGGCTCTTTGGTTTGAGGAATTGGAATTTATTTTTAAGTGAGAATTTGTTTACTCTTTAAACATACTTTTCCATATTTGGATGTTTTGCCAAAATGAAGTAGTATTTTAAGTTAAAAGTTCTGTTAATAATAGTAATACATTTTTTAAAAAATGTATGACATAGTATACCAACTTGCCAAAACTGACTCAGCCTTTGAAAATAGTCATTTATTGTTCTGTAACAGCGTTCTACAATATTTTCTACATATAATCTAACAAAAATATTACAGTGTCAAAAATTATTTCTTTGTTCCTGTCTAGAATGATATTCCATCCAGGATCTAAAATAATTATTTCTGTTTGCAGATAGGGATTACTCTGTGTAAATTAATAATCTGAGATTGCAGCTAGCTACATGGTTCACAGAGCATAGGAATTCCTACCAGTTTTTGTCCTATATTCCTCTCTAATCTCAGCAACATCCCTGTTTTTCTGCAAGTTTTCAGTGGACTTCCAAACTCCTTCCCACTTTACTCCTTTTCTCTCTTAGTGAAAGAGGTTCAACCCTGTTGTGTCTAGAGGCTGATACCAGCTTAGTGCATGTGCTGCTTGGCCAAACAGAAAAGATTATTACTGAGTTCATGCTGCAGCCTTTCTGTCCTCTAAGGGAGCATCAGTTAACAAAACTTGCAGGAATTTAATTTCTTTGAGACAGACTTTCTCCCTGATACTTCCAGGAGTTACTGGCTGACAGGCAGCACAATTAGTAAACCTTACTCCCTTTGGAATCCTGGCATAAGACATGAATGGTACATACCTAGCTTGACAGTTTATTTTTTCCATCACTGGTTAGGATTATTTTTGCTTTTATCCAGTGTTGTCCTATAACTAGAGATGTAGACATTTTAGCAGTATAATCTCCAGGTTTTTCATGATGTGTGCATACAACCAAATCCTTTTGACATCTGCAGTTCTCTTATTGACTGCTTGTAATAATAAGAGCAGCTTGACATGTGACAGTAGTGACTTCGGTAAACTACAACTGGAAAAATGTCTTTATCAGAAAAGATAGATACACAAACAGTACTCTGATTTTTAAATACGTGACAGAAAATGGACTGCTACTTTCGAGAGTTCACTGTCTAATCAAATTCATTACCATTACTGTTAAACCAGACATTCTGAAATATTAATGTTAATGTTCTAATGTTGGAAGTACCTCTAAGGTATTATATGGCAATTAATCAAAGCTAGGTTTTATTGAAAAGTGAAATAATAAAATGTCTTTATTACATTCAGATAGTATTGCATGATATTGTGGAAAAGTTACGATTGTTCACATTACTTAAAATACAGTATGAACAGATACTTAGTAAAAACAGGAATTTGTGTACTGATAAATTGAAATTTAACTAGCTTAATCTGAAATTAGTTTAGTGTTTTGTAAAATTCTAGATTCTCAAGTAGTTGGTATTTAAATGATCTTTTTTTTTTAAACCAAAGATGTAATTTTCAAGAGATCTATCTCATTTTTCTAATTCAAAAGAAAGCAAAATAAAATCTGAGTTTTGATGAATCTAGTTTAACTGGAGGGAGTAATTTTAAACACCACACAGAAGATGGAGAACAACTGTAGTAATAATGTATGGAGCTTATAAAAGCTTGGAACTTTGTCTACCAAATTTATATTTCTTACAAAGAAGAATCAAAGTGCCTTGCTAGACAGGAACCATGATTTAAAAGGTTAAGCACAGTATAGTAAACAGCTTTTCAATTTATACGCCATTATCAGTGTTTGTTTATAAGTGTCACCAAACATAGCATGCTAAAAATGTTCATTTGCTGTGTCTTCAAACCTATAAGATTACTTGGTTTCTATTTTACTTACACACTTACATAGACTTTGATTTTTAAAATTTTTTTAAAAATCAGTCTCTATACTAGCTATCCAACTTCTGGCTAAAACTATTTTACAGAACCTTTTTACAGTCACTTTGATCTACATTCTGTTTTAATCTTATGTTATGCTAAAATTAAAGTATTAATGCCACTGCCTCTTATTTCTAAACTGCTTCCATATTGCAGAAGAAACTGATTTTAAAAAGGAAAATCTTAATTTCACTGATAATGAATAGTTCCTGCTTTGTATTGAGTAATGATGAATTATTTAGATTTTACATGCTCACTAAAACTTTAAGATGTAATCCTAACCATTTAACCTTAACCATTTCAATCATATGTGCAATTTAGTCTGTAAATCTTCAAGTAACACTAACGTAGTTTTATATCATATCTATAGGAGCATATTTTACTTGGAGGGTGTTAGGCAGAAATTGTGTTATCCTGTATTAGAAGGTTTTTCTAAAAGAAAATAAATACCACACTGTTTACAGCCAGTGCTCCAAAAAAAAAAACTTTCTGTAAGCTGCCTTACCATTTGTAGATACTTTTTTCCTGTTTGAAAATGACTTTATGATGTTGCTGTTGGAGTCTAAACCTTTTATGTCTGAAACCTGATAGTATGTATATAATAGTAAATTTATAATTTCCATCTTTTTTCATTTGAGTGGTGTTTTGTTTTCAGAATAGTTATTGCTACTTGATTTTTGCATTTTTGTGTTCTAGAGTTTAGGCTGAAGTTTACCTGTTTTTAAGAAAAATATATTGAGTTGTGCCTTTTAATAACTGAGACATTTTACTTGGTAGCTGAAGTCTTGGTTTTAAGTTTCAATTTAAAGTCTTTTGGCGAAAAGGCACGTTTCCGTCTTTTGAAGTTTTTGTTAACATTACACTAGCAAATATTAAACACGAACCCAGAGAACCCAGAAGAAAGTGCTAACCAGAAAGAACAAAATGATTGGAAAGCCTGTCTCTCTTAATCTCTATTTTTTAATGATTATTTTCATTTTTACTTCTCAGAATTTTTTGCTTTGTTCTGAATTGTAAATGGCATATTCAGTTTGGATATTCTTGGCATACATGCTCTCTCCCTTTAACCCATTTTAGTAAATGGAAGGATAAGACTTTTCTTCGGATAAATTACAGCTGATGCACCGACTGCGTTTAAGTCACTTTAATTACTGTCTTTTAACATACATATTGGCTTACAGTTTTAACGGTTTATAAGTTATAAAACCCCTTTAGTAGTTATTATCTTTATGGATTATATGCAAGAGTCTAGAATTTTAAGTATATTAATTTTTTTTAAGAGTTCTGTTTGAGCTTTTTTCTGAAAGAAATTCTGATACAAATATTTAAAGATCAGAATTAAATAAGGCCGTTTAAGCCCCTCAATAAATTCAGTGATTTTATATTTTGGATGAAAACACTGAATTTTGAAGTAAGCTACACATAAACCCTTGCTAAACTGTAAATATATAAAATAGGTGAGGTTATAAAGAAGGAGGAAGAAGGATGAATTAGACCACCTTTGCTCATTAAGTTCATAAAGGGCAAATTATTTTTCACAGGAAGTGTAATCTTTGAAATCTGTGTATGAAAACACAACTTCCCATGGATTTAAAATTTACTCATTTGTAATTAGACAGGTGCAGTTTTGTTCCATATGATGCTTGTAGTATAAATATTATTTGAAATAAGTAATCTAGTCTGGCTTACCTTTGTGAAAAATAGCACTAATTTCTGTTTGTTAATATAAATAGAAAATACCAACCTTGAGTAATAGTTTTACTTCCTAGAATCTATTGTCTGAATTTTATCAAAGATAGTCAATTAGTCTAGCAGTTAGTGCTGAATTTACATATATATTCATGGGCCTCTTCATGATTGCTACTGTTGTGACCATGATACCTAGTACCTATATCCTGTACCTATAGTACAGAATGACAGAGCAAATTGTCTTCAATCTGACCCATTTTTAAATTTATGTTATCCCAGTGTTTACCTGAATTCTGTTGATGTAAAGTATCTGTAATGTGGTCTCCTCCAGCTGTCCATCAAGTTAAAAATCTTGCTTGGAATTTCAATAGAATTGTCACACCTGCTGTAGCCTATTCTGGCCTTGATGGGAGAAACCTTTTCTCACTTGTTTTCATTCAGAAGGTGGTGTAGGATACACGGCATTTTCCTAGCCCATTGTTTTGCCTGTCAGCCTGCACTGCATTTATCAGGAGTTACTTGTTATGCTTTCAGGATCCTTTCCAGATCTTTCATGACCTACTATTGTCTATCTTCTTTCCTCCCCTATTCAAATATCATTAATTGATCTGTAAGACCATGCTTCATCATTTTTCTGTTACGTTTTCAAATGTACATACTTGTGCACTTTTTTCCCATGCTATTTTGTTATGTTTTGGAGAGAGATTTCCACTGAGTAACAATATTTTCTTCAGGGTGCTCCTGCAAACTAGCCTTTCCCTCATGCCCACTAAGTAGGTGACGACTTCGTGCTATTGATGCAGAAACCACTGCTTAACACATTGACCAGTCTCACTGCTTTATTGTTTTCTTTTTTCCCCTCTTCCTTTGATTTACATTTAGATTGTAATTTTTTTTATAGAGTACAGTCTGTCTTTTTTGAATGTAAGAACAAAATGGTACTAACTGGATTGTTAAGTCTGCTTTACAGTGCAGCTCAAAAGTGTTTTCGTATCTTCAGTCATTGCAAGCCACAAACCACTTGTCAGCATTGTAGATAATATTATATATTAATTGAAAAAACTAAACATTCCTTTTGTTTCTTTAAGTTCACAAAAAGGAGAAACATGCAAAAATTTCAGCTCTGTTAGCAGTGACTAGGACAAGGAAGTTTTTGGCTATACTTGGTATAATGATAATAGAAATATTTTGACATAATGACAACTAAAAAACCCCTTAATAATTAAAAAGTGGAACATGATCAGCAAACAATCACAAGCAAGGACAAAATTGTTTCAACTGGTTTAACATTATTTCTTCACACTTAAAAATCGATTTTTAAAGGAACTGAGAATGAGGAAAAGTAATGGATCTTTGCCTCTTTAGGTATAGTTTTAGGTGAATGCGTTGGATAGGATTTCTGCATTTGAACAAAATAATTCTCTTCTAGTTTTAAACACAGCTACATCTAGCGCATCTGCAAATAATGTATGGAGCTTAACATGCATACATGACTGTGCGTGCAAGTAAGGGTAACTAAGGAAGTTACATGAGACTGCTTCTAAATTCTCTGTGCTGGTTTCTCTCCCTGTGCGTGTGCATGTGAAGGACATTGAGCAAAAGTTTGTTCTAACATTCTTTGTAGTGACAGCCTTGAGCTCAGCTTAGCTAGTGTTAAGTTAAGCTTCATGTAGGTCTATGTTCTGCTGTTAGATATTGGAAAGGATCCAGTGCAATGTACTTAATAGTTCTTAAAATACCTGCCACTCACAAATGCACAGGGAATTATATACATGTACTTCACATACTAAAATGGTATATTCTTGAATGGTATGGTATGATATCAAAAAAAGAATTATTTTATTTTTAATTGTAACTTTAAAAAACTTTTCTTACTGTGCATCATCTTCAGTTGTTATTGTTAATCCACCCATTCTTTACCTATTTAACTGATTTTTCTTCATTGTAAAAAGGATGCAGATATTTCTTGAAGAATGTGGCAGTTCTGTTTATGTAATTTGAATTAACTGATGATGGAACAAGAGAAAAAAAATTTCTTTAAAATATCTTCTTTGTATTTTCTTTCATTCATTGACTGTTTTTGGTATGTATGGTATATTTGGCACTAGATCAAGGTGAAAGTGGGAAGGTTAGCAGATGTATTTTTAAAAACAAATCTAAATATGTCATTAAAATTTCAAACTTTACTAGGACTCTGTAGGTTAATTACATTTTAACCTTCGCATTATTTAGGAACTTGGAAGGACACCAGGAAATCAAGTGGGAAGGATGATGGAAGGACAGATTTCACAACAGACATTACATTTTCGCAACCCATATTCAGAGGAAAATGGACCAGTTCCTGCAGTGCCAAGCAGACTACCAGTATTGCAGTATGGAAACCCTTATGCAATTCAGGAAAGAAGAGGTAAGTAAATTCCAAAATTCCACCCCCCCCCCAGTATAATTTCTCTCTCACCGTTTCAAAGGCAATGGCTCATTTAATGCAGGTTAAGTACCAACAATCTTTATACTGGTGCACAGAGCCTTTATTGATTGATGAGAATCAATAAAGTGCCTTTATTTTACTGATGAGAATCAATAAGGTAAACAAAGTTTCAAAGAAACAATTTTTGAAAGAGGTGATTTCTCTTGTTTTATATTATCTAAACCAAAAATGTGTTTAAGTCTTGATTTTTAAATGTGAGGTAGCACATCTGTAATCTCAAAATACGAACTCTACTGAACAAAGATGCTCTAATTAATTTTTCTTCAGATGGAGCAGATGGCGCTTTTAATCCTGATGAGATCCAAAGACCACCTGTTAGAACTTCCTTTTGGGAGCTAGAAGATGATGTAGTGTGTAGTCAGCCTTCACGCAATCTTAGCCGGCCTGATGGTTTAGAAGATCCTGAGGATAGCAATGCAAGTTACCTTTTTTATTATTTTTTTCCCTTGATATGTTTACTAATGAGTAATCAAGAGTTGCACATAGGTTTTCAGTATCTGATAAGCCTGATTTATTGTTATGTAAATCCGGAATGGATTTTTCTTTTCCCTGAACAATGTTTTAGGAGAAAACTCTGCACATCAATTGAGTGAACATACTTGTTCCTGTAATCTCTTGAGTTACTAACAGCTTGGTTTTGGTATTAGGACAGTAGCTTCTTAATCTTTTTAAACACTAAAGTAGAAGAATCCAAGTAATCCCAACTCATTCTGATTTTCCTCTCCTATGTGGTAGAATGAGGGCCTAAAATGTAGCCATGCCTTACTCATTTTATAATTTCTATGTAGGAACTAAATTGTAACAGAACAGATAAAAAGTTAAAGGATTCTGATACCAGTATTTTCAGTTAAATGTGGAATGAAAATTTGCATTGTATTACATACTTTATTCTAATGTATTAATCTTTTTTCTGTCTTTTGCAAATCTGCATTTATTAATTTCCATTTTGAATGTTTTTTGCTGTTAGACATATATTTGGAAGAGCTAATTGACTATTATCTAAAGCTGATTAAACTGAAAGTGACAGATTCTCACTGATTTCTTTTTTAGGGCCTTGTATGTTTTAAGTGGAAACTGGTTAGCTTTTCTTTTTAATACAGTTAACTTGCATGTTCTGGTATAAAAAATGGTTTTAGTAAATTGGCTTCTGTAATAAACTGGACTATGTCTTTGAACAGGAACAAACTTATTACTCTTTATTATTCTAACTACTCTTGCACCTTCAAAAATATTAAACAAGAAACACCTTTCTGCAAAGTATTGTGCTCTTTGCAAGTACAGTGGTATCATGACCTGTTTCTCATTTAGTCTAGTTTGCCACATTTAATTGCTATTAACCTTTGCAGAAACTGATCAGTGTTCAGACAGGCATGATTTCAGCCCTGGTGCTCAGCACCTATAATAGAGAGAAATGTATTTCTCCCTCCTACCTTTTGCCCCCAGTGTCCATTACTGTGAATAATTAGAGAAACTGTCAGAACTTTTGCAGCCTGTTCAAGATCTAGAATGTGAGCTTAATGCTGTTGCCCACCTTTACTTTACACTTTGCATATTTAATCTGATCATTCTTGACGTAGGTATTACATGTGACAAGCTCTTCTCTTCTTTAGTCATCTGCTTCAGTTTAATTAGCAGGGTGTTCTTTCTGATCTATGTGCTTTGCCCTCTTGCAAACCCAAGAGAAACAGTGCTAGAGTCTTGTGCTCATTTGCTGACATAACTTGGATTTTTGTAATGAGATGGAATGTAACAGGCTTAAATAAAGTTAACTTGAGAAAAGGTGCCTTTAAATCAAATAATTTGTATCTTTATTTTTTTACTTTCAAATGAGAATCAGTTGTTTGCTCTTCCCAAAAATAGACTTTATGTGTAGTGTAGAAATTTACATGGAAATGAGTAGTTGCAAGAATCTTTCTAGAGACTTGGTAATATGCCAAAGATAAAACAATTCTAATGCAGTATTTAAAATACAAAACAGGGAAAAATACCATATATGTAGGCAGTTCATTATAAAGGAGAGCCTGTTGTTTATGCAGAAGAAACAGCAAATATAAAATGATAAATATGAAGAGATTACCATTTGTTGTACATTTTTTTAAAATAAGCTGTTTAAGATGTAGTTCTCTGCATTTTTAAACCATTAAGATGTGGAGCCTTTTGTTGGAGGAGGATTCCCTCCCAGAAGAAAAGGATTGGTAGTCTTGCTACTTTGTTTAAAATATTACCATTGTATGGACTTCTGTCATTTTCCTCTCCACATTCTTATTACTACATGTTATATTAGTTTAAGACCTTGAGGGTGTTCTAGTCAATTCCACCACTTCATGGCTGTTTTGGTGGTGGTTCACCTATGATAGCGTTGACTTTTGGAACTCTCAGGCCAGTTAAACCATGATTTCTGAGAGGGGTAAGCTGGTCTGTGTTAATTATGAGCACGCACACCATGGTGATTTTGTGTAGAATAGTTGACTTGCCATGAGTTCCTGCTGTCATCTGCTCAGCACTAACTTTCCATTTGCTCATGCTCCCGTAATTGACCAAAACGTAATCATTTGGAGCAAATAATTTCTAGAAGCAGACATGTACAGGAGAGATCCATAAACAAAACTTACATATATTTTTAATACTAAAGTGTGAGTTTTAGAAATGTAGTCCTGATTACAGTTGGCAGTAAGCCCAGAATAACTGTCCTGAGACTCTTAAACAATGTTGTTAGTCACCATAATTTTGTGGGGGAAGGTGAGTGTAACTTTTGGCAACTGACAACCAGGTCAGGATATTTTTTGAGATGAATCCAAAATGGCCTTTCTTCTAGCAAAAAACCCTACTCCACTTTATTAGACCCTGGCAGCCAATTACTATCTTTTGTATAGGATAGGCATAAAAGGAGCAGTTGGCATCCAGATACCTCTTGGGAGACCAGATTGCTTGCAGAGAGGTAGAGAAACCTAAAAGAGTTTGTTTGATTTCACTCCTGCAGCAGAGCTGAATTACAGAAAGAAAATACGTGTACTCTTCTTTCCAGTCTACCCTCACTATATGTTAGCGGTGTGTCCATTTATTGTTCAAAGCTTAGGATGGGTATCGGCTCACTTATTGTTGCATGTTAGAAATCAGACAGGGATTGTTCAAGCCTGTGGGTTTTGTACAGTATCACGTGGCTTTGTTTCAAATTTCTGTTTGGCAATCTTGGAACTGCTTACAGTTGTAATTATGAAAGCAGTACGTGAGGCAAGATTGGTTAGTTTTACCAAAACAAGGTTAGTTGCGCTTGTTTTTGACAGTTAATGTCTGGCTTTCCATTCTTGCTCTTCTAGTGACAAACCCCCTCTTTCTTTTACTGTGCTTTATTGTATAATGCTATATTTATCTTTATGATTCCTATAATTTGTGGAAGTCATTGTGGTAATTTTAAAGAGTCAGAGTTACAGTCCAATGATAATAGTTAAGTCATGATGTTAAAGGCATCCTTTATAATATGTTAACTTAATTATCCAAACTTCAGATTCAGAAGGCCTGGCACTTGTTATGCTACATGATCACAGTGCCAGCCTGTGGGTACATGATATCAGACTCTTTTCGTAAGGCCATAAGGCCACATATCAACTGTGTTACATGGCTGCAGGGCACTGTAGAGCTCTTGGACTAAGTATGTGCAGCCATGTCCCTAGTCATCAGTCTGGAGTGCAAGAAAGCTGGCTCTGGGTCTACATGAAGGACAGATTAAACTGTCTCTTTCTCAAAATACAGAGTATGGGCTTCCGTCCAAATAACCTGGATGATGCGACCATGGGGTCTTGAGAGTAAGCTGATGCCTATGCTTAAAATACAGTATAGGCTAAGCCATTGAGGCCTGGCCTCCGCCAATTATTTTCAAACTTTCTGTGAAGCAGCTTCAACAAACCTTCTCGTTTCGGCTTTTGAGTCTTCAGGGGATGGTTTGTTTTACCATGGGAGAATGACTGGTTTTTAAATGTCAGGCTGAAAAGCGTACATACATTCTTTATTCTTACAAATGATGTTATCATTGGTTATACTAGCTGGAAGAAACTGGGCACTAAGTGACTGTGAACCAAGATGAGTAAGATCTGTCCTCCCTTCGTACAGTTCTCTATTTTACAGGGTACACTTCAGGAGTTTTGTCCATCTGAAATGACAGAAATAGCTGTCAGAGTCCAATACAATGGGACATTTTCTGTGTTTTCCAGAAGTTCCAAGTTACCACAGGGTAGTGCACGAGAGTTTTTAGTTATTGGTGATTGTATACTGTTCACTATAACTTGTAATTAGAATAGCTGTGAAATAATCTCAGACTAAGATAAAGTTCTCATTGTTACTGTTTGACCATTCTTTAAGTATACAGTAATCTCTGTAATATGCACTTTGAGGTACGCTCAATATAGATTTGCATTCTTATTGTTTGGGTTAAGCATAACAAAAGGTTAAGAACTGATCTGTCTTTATATACTTGGCCAAGAGCAAAGGTATACTGAAGAGACAGACCTTCCGTATCTTACCAGCGTAATATCAATACATATTTAGTATTGTCATTCTTACATGGTGCGCGGGTCAGAAGCTACTATAAGGAACACACAGTATGATTTTTACAATTAACTGAACTGGATCGTGAGAAATCTATATCCTTAGGACATACCAAACTTAATGTTACTTTGACATCAGAAAAGCCTTTTTCTTTTTTTTTATTTATTTTATTTTAAACTGTTAATAACTTGTGCTTGCCTTTTGTTGAAGCTAGTGTCTACAAGGCAGCAGTGCAGGATAGTGCGTGTGTGCCAATGTAGAGGAAAGCATCATATTCCTCAAATCAGTTTTTCAAAAAGCAATGAGGAGGAATGTTTTATTGTTACACAGTAGGGTATCACACTTGTTGTAAACAATTTTATCTTACCAGTTGACTAGCACTTGGGGGCAAAATACTGAACAAATAACTAAATTAACTAGAGTAAATAATGTGAAAAACCCACCCGCAACAAACTAAAAAACCCTACCCAACCTATTAACGCTTTATATAAGGTAGCCAGGCAGTGCTGATTTTTTAGCAATAAATTTTAAAATGGCAAACCTTTGTATAAATCAGTTTGCATTTTGTTGATTCTAATTAAAATTACTGGTTTCCCAAGGACTGTGGTAGTAGAGTAGAAATATGCATGTGGGGAAGCTGATGCTAAAGCAGTTTACTTCTGCTGACACAGCTAATATAAATGGATGGAGGGCATTGGTAAGATCACTTCTACTTGAATAATGTGTTATAGGAACAGATTTCATTTGCCATTCATTTGCCACCTTTTAATCTTTGTGTAATGCATGCATAAAGACTGAGAGGTTTCCTTTTCTGATAGGGTAACTAAAATTTCTGTGGTATTCTAACATTTGTATAGAAGATGGATTCCTTCAGGAATGATGAGTTCTGTGTTCTGTTACAGTTGGGCATTCAGGTCAGTGGTTTCCTTCAGGTCTGTGTAAAGAGTCTTTCTAAAAGTTGGGTTTTGTTGAATGCATTAATAATTTTGAATGAGAAAAGAGACCCATTTTTATCATAATTTACATAATTTAGGTTAATGCCCTTGTATACAAAGTTAGTATTTAGCATTGGTAAATCCTGACTCCTTGGTCAACTAAAATTAATAACCCTTAATATAATGAATAACCTATGCATTTGTCATTGGGTCTGCTAATCTGTCCTAAACAAAGCTTACTTAGGGAATTTGAGGCTGAAGAGCCCTTTCACCAGAGAAGTACCTCATTCACCTTGTCATTTTTAACCAAGTATTAATAAGTGCTGTGACAAAAATGCCCTGTGTTCAAGTAGTAACTGAATGACAAACAGTGAAGAATTATGAGAAAGTATTTTCTAGTGATTTAAATGTTAATTAGGCCTGTGTTTGTAGTGAGGCTATTTTTTCTGAAGGAAGATGCACATTCATTTTCTCAGGTAAGTCCTGGTCTACTTGCAGTCTGGTATTCAGGAAATTTGTCATGGTTTTGGCACTACCTGTACCATTGTAGCACAAGAGTACTTTAAATAGCTTTTCTTCTTTAATACACACATCCTATCCCTTTTGTGACAAAAGGAACAAATAACATTTAAAAACCCACAGGCCCTTTTTACTGCAGGTGCAAAGCAAGCTACACTGGAAAATACGTCTGTTGCTAGCATCTGTCACAGCAAGCCCCACTATCTGCCTAATGGAAATGTTAAATGGTTGAAATTAAACAGCTGTTGTCAGGAGAAGAAAAACATTGAGGGAATCTTCCCTTCTTACTCTGTTTCCATTAACTCTTCATAAGGACAAAGTATGTTAGCTTAAAAATGAAATATGTTTGAATATACATATTAGTTATCTGTATAAAACATACAGCATGTCTACTGTTATATATGGTCCCTTGCACATCCATTTTTGAAGATCAGTAAAATAATAATTCTTGCATGTAAGGCATGTTTGAGATGAAAAGGGAAGTGATGTAGGAGTTGGAGTTTCAAAAATCTTGCTGAATTTACCTGTATTCCCACCTTAAAATGAGTAGATTTTGTGCTGCATTATCTAATTGCAGAATGGAACCAAGATGCTGTATAATGAATGGGTTTACAAACAGTTCTGATTTTCTTCCTTCTCCTTCAATTTATTTTCCTTCAGTGCTGTTTTCTTCCCCTAATTGCGTTTGCTTACATCACTGTGTTTATTTATATCTTAATTTGTAATAGTATCATCATGGAATAAAAAAACCAACCCCCAAACCCTCAAAACGTAAGTGCTCTGGCCCCTTGCTTGTCAGAAGGGAACTCTCAGAATCCAGTCACTGTAGGTATTCTTCTTTTTTCTGCTTGAGAATTTCCCGTTGCAGGCAGATTTCTTCCTCCTTTTGTGAGAAGTGAGGAGCAGCGTATTCCCTAGAGGCTGACCTGCCTTCCTAACCTGATAGAAGCTCTGAGGCAAACCTGCTTGTCCATCAGCAGAGCGATCCTCATCAGTGCCTGCTGCAGCTATTTATGTGCTGTTAGTGTCCATGAAGGGAGAGCACAACTGACAGAGCTGATGAGAGGAAGCAGCCGAACAGGGCAATTTAGCTGATGTGCCTGACGGCAGCGTGAAATGTGTGACATGCTTGGCTGGTGAGAGCAGCATAGGCAGATCACTCAAAACTGACCGTTTGGGAGGCAAGCACGTGAATCAAAATCAATGTCCTTTTTCTCCTTGCTGAAATTTAAATTGACAGATTCTTAAAGTCTGACTTGACATTCTATTGTCTAGAATTTATTTTTGAGTTTTAGCTCTCAATAAAATGCTATTACGGTTTGCAGTCTGATGCCCTGTGTTCAGTTCAACACAGGTTTTTCTGTTCCGACTTAGACCCTGGGCGTTAACAGCGAGGTGACCTGCATTTCCTTAGTTACTGTGTTAGTAGAAGCATTCTAGCAGCACCGACACAGGTCTCTGCTCTAGGTACGTGGTCAAAGGGCAGTCAGTGTTTAGCTTTTCATGTTCATTAACCATGTCTCTTTTGTACACTAAAGTAAAACTTATGCTGCAGGGATTATAAAATGAAGGGTCATTTTCATCCATGTTTATGCCTGATTACAAAAATGCATATGAAAGAGAAAAAAAAACCAAAGCAGCTGCTTCTAGTGGGTATTATTTAACATACTTTCTTTTTGTAATAGGATGATGACAACACTGTACCTTCTGCTCCTGATCCTCCAAGTCTTCTCTTGCATGAACGTGGAACAGGTTTCTGCTTTGATTCCAGGTAAATGTTACTTTTTATTGGTCTTTAATGGCATGGATAGGTTTCTATATAACTGGATTTTTTTACTCGGGTGGGGGGTGGAGATGAAAAACTGTTAAGCGTTTTCAATGCACGTTTGGTTTACAATTAACGATCAGAGAATATGCTGTGAGACTGGGAAGACTATTTGTGCTATACCTTATTTTGGTGGAATTTGGACAATTTTTTTAGTAAATGAATGAATAACTTTTGGGTTTTTTTCCCTCTCCAACTTAATTGTGAACTTAAGTTTAGAGCTTTTATAAAGTGTTATGTTTGCTAAGAGCAAGCATTTATGAGCAGAGTGAGTGGTTTCCCATGAAACTGCTTGGCCATTAAGACATTCAATAGATTTGTATTCAGTGGTAGCTGGAATTATGTCAAAATTATGTTGCTTTTAAAATGCCAGGTTATTTTGGAACTCCTCTGTAAAACTACTTTAACTGTATTGAGCACTTTCAGTGAAGACATTTAAATTAACTGTAGGATACTTGCTTAGATACAATGTGTGCTCAAATTTAAGTTTGTAGTAAAGCTGTTCACATTGGTGGCAGCAGGATCCTACTCTTCGATTTTCTTTTGCAGTAACACATTAAATAACTGTTTCCTCTTTTTCTTTCTCTCCACCTCCTCATGAAGCTTTGATGTGCACAAGAAATGCCCTCTTTGCGATGTGATGTTTCCACCTAACTATGATCAGAGCAAGTTTGAGGAACACGTTGAGAGCCACTGGAAGGTGTGCCCCATGTGCAGTGAGCAGTTCCCACCTGACTATGATCAGCAAGGGTTTGAGAGGCACGTGCAGACGCACTTCGATCAGAACGTATTAAATTTTGATTAAATACTTTGTTTTGCAGTGTAGCTTAAAAAAACCCCAACTTTGAGTAGTTCACCTATGGAACAAAAACAGTGCAGCTTTTCTGTAACAGTGCAAACTTCTGATTAAAAGCTAATGTAATGGGAGCCTTGATAAATCGTGGCTGTAAGCTGCTATTGGGTTATCCCATCTCTCTACCTAACATTATACTAAAAAACGCCTCCCAAACCCCACCTTGTTGTGTATGTAGCTATTTATTCCCCTACTTAGTGGAATTTGTAAGGACACAGGAATGACTTAGCCTCAGAAAAAATGAGACCAGCTTCATGATGCTCTTCAGCTATGTGTAAAAAAAAAAAAAAAGCCACCAAAACACCTGTGGTTTCTCTTGACCATGATAACTGAGGCATGATTAAAAAATGTAATAAACAGATGTTTCTCCTAGCAAATTGGTGTAGTTTTTCAAGTAACAGTTAAATCAGAAAATTACATTACTTGCCCTATGAAAATATAGTTTTCTAGTACATTTCTGCAATGTAGATGCATGTACTGTGAGATTACATGCTTGCAACAAAAGGAATGGCAAATATGTCAGTCTTACATAGAGAATGTTTGCGTTAAGGGATAATGTTAAATTAAGTATGTTATACCTTAAGGCAGTATTTTTGAGTTTAAAGAAACTGCTGTGCTTAAATGCCTAAAAATAATTGTTTTAAAAAAAAATCATTGCTCTTGCGTTGCAGTTGCATTCAGTAGAAAATATTGTTAAATTTTCACAACAGTGAATTGTGTTCCTTTTGGCTTAGGGCTTTTAAAACCATCTGCATTTTAACTCTATGTATTTCTTTCCAGTAAGTAAAAACATGTGTGTATATCTAAACATTTTATATTTACTTTAACTGATTAAGTAATTTTTGCTTTCCACTTGTTGTACAGTAGTCTTGTTACATTAAAAGCAAAATTACTCATGGAGTCAGTGGTCCTTTTTTTCCTGCTGCTCGTTTTGAAATAAAACAGAGTTTAGGCTTTACGTGCTTACAGTAAATGCTGTTTCAGCTTCCTATGACAAAGAAACTGTTGCTCACATCTATTTATGTTCTTTGTTTGAGAGAGAGAGACTCGGGGATTAAGGTTTTGAGTAGCTTCTGTTGTCTGGAGTTCTCTTGTGAACATGTGCAATATCCTGCTCAATGCAGGATTTATTAAAAACTGCATGACATAGATAAATCGCAGTGTCTTGGGTAGCAGCTACTGTATCAGTCCTTGTGTTCCATTTTTAGATTTTTTTTTTTTTTAAACTGTGAACTTCATGTCAAGAGATGGTCTGAGGTAAGGCATGGAAGTACTGAAAGAATATTTTGTAAATTTTTTTCTTACCATAACTCAACAGCATATGAAAATGGTTAGAACAGGCTCTAAACCCAAAGTATTATTAGTTATCATATTATTAAAGACTTGTGAAGTCTCACACAGGCAGGACAACCTCAAAACCTGAGTGTGCCAAAGCAGTGACTTCTCTTAGATGTGTGTGTATATATAGGCAATTACTGAAACAGTTTCCCTGTTAAATAGCCACTCTTGACACAGCTGCTTACAGTAAGTTTGCAGGTACATGACAGAAGCCAAATACCTCTACCACAACCTCACTGAATTACAGGTGTGATGATTTCTCCTTTCATGGTGATGGCCACTTCATTTCTGAAAACCTTCAGAAGAAAGGTAACCCATATCCTACCATTAAAAGGGGGCTTCTGTAGCATCAGTCCAAATTTTATCTGGTGATGTTCAAAGGGAACAGCCTGTGAAATCTGAAGTCCTTTTGACTGCTTAAATCAAAATACTTTTTTTTTTTTCTCCAGGCTGTAGCATTCTGTGTAATTTTATGCATTAGTGGTGTAGTGCTTAAGTTCCTTCAGGTGTTTATTGAATACAGAGTTTGACGATACCAAAGTAAAATACACAAATAAAAGACTGTATACAGCCCAAGAACTTAACTCCTTAGGGTAATAACGAGTAAAGAGCAGTTGTCTTGGGTCAGAGGCAGTTTATTTTAAATGTGATTTGATTTACATTTATAAGCAGCTTTCTTGACAGGAATTCTTTAAGTAAGTTGCCTTCAGTTCTAAAACAAACCTCTGTCACTTTCAAACTTAAAGTACTTTGTCCCCAACAAAACATATGAAAATATAATTTAAAGCACACTTTTCACAGACACAGTACAATACATTCACTATACACAGTATAACAAAATAGTCCCATCTTTACCTGTTTAATAATACTGTCACAATGAATAGGTAAATAGAAACTGGAATTTCATTTTTATAGTTCAAAGGAATTTACATGCAACAATGACGTTTTATGACTGTTTAGCTGTTGAACGAACTTACCCAGCCTGTAGTTTCTTGCACTAGGAGCAGAGCCGGAAGGTATTTGTTGGCCAGATCTGTTGCCAAAACTGCAGAAGGTGGGAAGCGGCCATCTAGGGCCCCTTGTGTACCAGTAACTCTCATGTCTGGATCATCCTCTAAACCTGGCTGACAGCACTGCACAAGGCAAGCACTGTCACCTCTCCAGGATCTGAAAAAAGTGGCATTTCCTTTGAAATGCTTATTCATTAGGATGATTCCTAAGTGTTTTAATGGGACTTTTCCTCTGCTGGAGAATAGGTAATTGTCATCCTTACAAAGTTTTCCTTTAAAGCTTTGGAAAAAAACAGAGGGAAAGCTCATTCCTCCTTTATTTGAGCTTTCTTTTGCACTTCTGTAAAAGAACAGGAACCAAGCAAAGGCGGTTACTGTGTTTAACACAGCGTGTTCCTCCCTAACCCTCACCATGTGAGAAATGGTGCTGGGCTGGGGGGTGCCCACCTCCCCTCCTGGCCAGCTGAACTCCAAGAATAGCACTTGTGAGAGAAGAACGCTCAAGGCAGGATGGTAAGCAACAAATGTTCAGGTATGGTCCAGACACGAAGCGCTCTCATGCTGGCTTTTGTTTTAAGTCAGTCTCTGACCACCTGCTGCAAGAAGCACTTAATCTTCAATAAGGCTCATATGTCATATTTCAGCAAAATGAATTGTAAAGCTAAACAGACACTTCCCAATGGAATGCAGTGACCTACAATGAGAAGCAAAAAAATGCACAAAGAAAATCTCAAAATACAATGAATGTGAGGGAGAGGCATTAGAAACTCCCTTAGCACAAATAATGGACCTCCTTAAACCATGCGTAGAATTTTTTATTTTTATTTGCAACCACAGGCACATGCTCGTACAGTAGTTGCAAGAATTGGCAACACATAAAACATTAAATCTGTTGGCAATAGAGAACTACAAAGTGCTTTAAAACTTCATCTGAGATGAAGATAATTGTTTCTCACACACACATAAATTTGCACTTAAGTATTTCCAAGTGTCTTTCTAACAGATAGTTCAGGGGTAAATATTTAGTTGGACTGGGATATTGGTCCTCAAAACTTTGATGGGCATGAACATAGTATGATGTCTTGTACAAAAAAAAAAGTAGTAATTTCTAACACTAAAGTGATTGTTTACTAGTTTGAATGGCAAGATTTTCAGCATTCAAGAGGGAGAAAAAAAAGATTTGCAAGATAATATAAAATACAGCAAGCACACCTTTTTATGTATGTTATTTAAGTATGAAAATATTTTTAGCATATTATGTTAAACATTCTCTTATTTATATTTCCATTACCTAAAAGACTTGCTACTCCACTGATAACTCCATTATGTAAGGCATGTTAACTATAGTTTGACAAGGGTGGTATCGTTTTGGTTTTGCACACACATTGACAGATGCATTGAAAGTCTTCATCACATTACAATCTTGAAAGGATGTCAGTGCCAAGCTCTCCTCCTCTCACTCCTATTCAACACTTCAGTACAACTAAATACGCAACGCCCCCCTTATTTTTTTGTTGTTGTTGTTTTGGAGAAAAATGTTCTGAAGAACCTATAGCTTTTATAGCACCTTATCTCAAAGTAATGAAAATGGGTATGATGATTACATGTGCAAATGTACAAAATCATTAACTCTACAAAGATACATCATTCCAAAATTACAGAAAATTTTAAAGCATGCATTTTATTTTTTTAAAGGGTTGCTGAGTGCTTCCCCTGAAAAAGGTGGCTGTTCTCAAAATCAGCAACTGCTGGTGAGGATTTCTTGGCACATTTGTGACCAGCATGTTATTGCTGCATCTTCCTGATAATCTCAGCAGACACGGGGGGATGGAAATTGATTGTGTGGTGCCGCAGGCCCTGAGCTGTCTTGTAACTCTTTCCACAGCGACATTTGAATGGTTTGCGTACGCGGATTTGTGTTCTGTGGCCGTTCTTGGCATGGTACTTTATACCGTTCACATTCTGTGAGTGAGAAAGTAAAATGTTAGTGGTCAAGTGGTCTGATAATGGCTTAGCTTTCAGTTAAAAAACAAAAATTGATTAATGTTGTGGGCAAAAATCACACAAATTGCTAGGAACTCCCACTAGGTGTTATGCATGTGTTGTGTTTTCAAGATATGAGGTGGGACAAGAAGGAGAATAATCTGTGCCTTTCTAACACATGGAACTTATCTACCTGGGTAATTCTGATTTTTATCTCCTAATGTATGGCACTTTCCAAAAAATGCTATTTAATGGGCTCACACATGGATGTTCTTTGCTTCCTGACATTTTTTCATAGAGCATTGACAAATTTTATTCAGAGGTTCATTTACAAGCAAACAAAGAATTGGCATGGGGACTTGGGTCACGCTTCTTCAAAAAGCTGAATCTTCCCCCATGGTGTGTTTGTTCTGTTTTGTGTCATTGTTTCTAGATATGTCTTTAGGCACCAGCAAATTCTGATAGTTTGCACATTGTCTCCAAAGAATTAACTGCAGGGAACACTTAACTCAAAGAGTTACACAGGGGCACTAGAAAATAATCCAGAGAAGCTGTCTTCAAAATAGCTATTGTTTGGGAATATTCTACAGCTAAAACTAGATAACTGATCTCCACTAGTTTGGACAGAAAGAGCAAAAGACAGCACCACAACACACCCTTACACTGCCAAGGTCAGGGAGCAGGCAACACTTTTTCTAGATTAATCAAGAACCTTAACATAAATCAAAATCATACCCCTGTCCTCCTTTTCACATATGTCTGGCAAAAATGGAAGAAGCTGTTGTGGTCTCAACAGCTGTTGTGAAACTGCTTTATGTAGGGTTTGTCTTACTGGAGTCTGTCTTATCTGCTTCCACTAAAAGAGCTTGGATTTTTGGAAAAATAAGGACAGGCAAACTGTCTTTCATTAGAGCTTCTCCTAGGAAGAAACCAAAGAAGACGCCAAGACAATTTGTGACAAAAAGATACAGCTCCAAGGCTCTACTGTGTCCTCTCTAAAGCTTCCAGATACGTATGTCAGACTTAAGTCCTAGAATCAATTAACAGCCTGGATATTAATTAACCCACTAAATTAAGCTTCAGGGATTTTGTCTTTGCTGGACCACTGCCTCGTGTTACATGTAATAAAAAGTCCCCATGGCTCTTCAGGCAACCAGTTTTATCAATGTGCGGCTTACAGTAAGTGAAAGCTCCAGCTTGGAACTCACAGCAATTTGTTTTTAAACAAAAAGGAAAAAGCCTTCAGTAAACAGAACAGAGCTACAACTCCTAAAACTTCAGAAGACTCTATATACATCAGAAAGCAAACCCCAGAAAGGCAGAAGGTTAACACCTTCAATACCACACCCCTCCTGCCAACGCTTCCTGTTCTCCTCTCCTACCTCCTAATCCAACTTACTCCGAGTCAGAATCTCAAGTGTTATGTCCCACTCCTGAGACAGACAGTCCCTGCGCGTGCTGCCCTCCACTGCCCTGCTCTAACCACAGCTCACAACAGCAAAGGAGAAGTATAAGGAACTTAGAAGGAAAGTAGGGAGGAGTGTAATTGCAAGAGAAGCCGCCCAGTCT